GTTTTAATAAGCATCACCATTGTAAATCTCTCTGTACAGAGAATGCCAATGAGGGGAAGGGAATTGCTGACGTACAAGGCAGAGAGCACCTCTGTGCTCTACACCCCACTCCCCTCCCAGAGCTGGGATACAACCCAGGAGTCCTGCCTCCCAGTTTAGCACTTTCTGCCACATGTCTGCCCTGCCTCTTACTGCTCAGTCCCACTGACGTGTCTCGCACAACTAACAGGACAAGGGGAAGTTAATTGTCTCTTCATTTTCTCTCTTGAGAGAAATAATTGGCAGGGTGCCGGTGTGAGCCTGGCAGAGTTAATCTATCCCCCTCTTCACACCTACCACCCCGTGCTCGGACTGGACTGAAGGAGACAGCCAGGGGGATGTCTGCAGGGGCGTAGTGAGAGGGAGGCGGGGGGCAGTTGCCCCCAGGCGCCACGCTAGGGGGCGCCAATTTAGTCCCTCTCCGCTCCCCCGTCATCCCTCAGCTTGCCTGCTCCTCCTCCACCCGCTGCTGGCTGGCACCTCCTCCCCGCCTCTCTGCTCCCAGCCCCACCCTTCTCCATCTCTGCTGGTGGATTAGTGCATGCAGGGGCCCGGCCCAAAACTGGAGGGGCAGGGAAAGACTTGGTACAAGCTCCCCGCCCCCTCCTCCCAGGATTGGGCTCAGCCGTGTGCCAGGTTCAGGGCCCCCACCGCACTGCAGGGGGGGGACACAAATTTGGCTTTTGCCCCTGGGCGCATAACACCCTCGCTATGCCTCTGGATGTCTGCTCCTCCCTTTCACTCACGGCAGAATACACCCCAGGCAGGAGAGCTCCCTATGACTCCCTCACTTGTGCCACGCAGACCAGGAGACAGGCAAAGCCATGCTAGGGCCTGAGTTCCCCTCCCACAGCCACTGGGAAGGCTCAGATGGTCCCTGCCAGGACTAGACTCCATGTCTCAATGAATTATCATCAACCAGCCAGCTGGGGCTAGAACGCCTTGAGGGGCTAGAACCATCCACCCACACACCAAGGCTACGTCTACACTGTGGCAATTTTTTCGGAAGAGGAAATGCAAATGGAGTGCTCTCATTTGCATATTATCTTCCCATCCTTTTTGCGGAAGAGCTTTTTGCAATAAAAAGCCCTGTATGGGCAGGGCCATTTGTCGGGAAACCCCTGTTTTGTGCAAGATCCCTTATTCCTCAAAAAACGAGGTTCACAGGATCTTGTGCAAAATGGGGTTTTTCCAACAAATGGCCCCGTCCACACAGGGTTCTTCCACAAAAAGGATCAGAAGAGAATATGCAAATGAGAGCACGAGATTTGTAAATGAGCACTCCATTTACATTTCCTCTTCCGCAAAAAACTGCCTCAATGTAGACATAGCCTTGCAAGAGAGCAGAGCCTAGAACCCAGGACCCACTCTCAGGGAGATCAGGGACTAAAACCCACAAGCCACCCACAGAGTAAAGGCTAGCCTGCTTGTCTTTTAGTGCCACAGTCACTTAAACCCATAGGCTACGTCTACACTGGCCCCTTTTCCAAAAGGGGCATGCTAATTTTCAACTTCAGAATAGGGAAATCCGCGGGGGATTTAAATATCCCCCGCGGGATTTAAATAAAGATGTCCGCCGCTTTTTTCCAGCTTGGGAAAAAGCCGGAAAAAAGCGTCTAGACTGGCCCGATCCTCCGGAATAAATCCCTATTTTGAAGTAGGAATAAGAGATCCTCCGGAATAGGGCTTTATTCCGGAGGATCGGGCCAGTCTAGATGCTTTTTTCCGGCTTTTCCCCAAGCCGGAAAAAAGCGGCGGACATCTTTATTTAAATCCCGCGGGGGATATTTAAATCCCCCACAGATTTCCCTATTCTGAAGTTGAAAATTAGCATGCCCCTTTCGGAAAAGGGGCCAGTGTAGACATAGCCATAGCGATCCCTTAGGCAGTCGCAGTGAAAAGTTTCTTGCTCACTTTGTCAGAACAGGGATGGGAGCCAAGACTCCTGGATTCTGTGTCCTCCACTGGCCGTGATCTAGTGGCTACAGCAAGTGGGGCTGGGCTTTGGGACTCCTGCGTTTGGTTCCCAGGGCCGCTCCCTGATCTCGGAACAATCGGCTCAGGCTCTCCGCAGATGTCGGTCACAAGTTCCAGCTCTTGTGCACCAATGAAAGAGAGAGAAACTCACTTTATTTCTCAATGGAAGCGGCAGTCTTGCCACAGTTGCATCACTCCAAGAGCCAGCACCCTGAGCATGGGCCAGCCTTGCACAGGGCCCCATGTTGCAGCCCACCGGGGAGGAGCTCTCACAAGCTGCTGCAGTCAGAGCCACAGCCCCCTGGGGCTAGATGTTTGCACTGCATCCCCGTTAACTTTCACCCTGTCATCCCATGTCAGGTTGTTGTGATGGCAGACTGACAGCTGTCAGTCACAGGCTGGGAATGACGGAAGCCTGACTGAAGTCTGACTTGCACTTTAACCCCTTAGCTGACAACAGGCTCTGTATGCATCTCACCTACTGTGAGATACCTTGGGTTAGTTCCTCAGCTTTAGAGCCAGGGGGTAGGAGCGGAAGGATTGCAGTTCCGGGACTGCTGGGATCTGTCCCACTCTTGGAGACTGAGCAGTAAGAGCGGGTGTGGGGGGAGGGGCTGGGAGTCCTGCTAACAAAGGAGCTAAGTTAGAATAATAGACCTGAGGTATGACTAGATCCAGACAAAGACCCTGGATACCTTTCAATGGGCCCCGACCCACCCACTCCCCCTTCAGTAACATCCTGAAAGACTCCTCCATTGTAGAAACAAGCAAACAGCTTTAATCGTAATCTGACAAGAAGCCCCATTAAGGAGCATTTGTAAGCAAATCCCCCAGCTTCATCCTTGTTTATTGTTCTGATTTATTAGCTTCATTAGCAGCAAAAAGGAGAGGATGGAGGTTGCTGGGGCATGAATTATTCCAAATACTAGACATGCTGCCCTGGAGTCCAAGGAGTTGCTACAAAAATCCTTCCCTTGCTTTCTGTAGAAATCCCCTAAACCCAGAAAGTCATTTCACATCCCCACACTTAATCCTGCACAACAGGGGCCTCAATCTCAGTCAGGGTCTGTGCAGCGCCTGGCACAATGGGGCCCTGATCTCGGTTGGGGTCTGTGTAACCGGTGGGAAACATTCTCTTGACCTTTTGAAATATTTCAATGAGAAAAAAGAATAGATTTTCTGTAGGCGTTTCAAGATGAGCAATGCTCATTTTTCTTTCCCCTTCATACTTTTTAAAAGTAATTTTCCTTCTTTTTCCAATGAAGGGCAAATTAAAAAGGGGAGAAAATCCCATTTTACTTAAATAGGAAACAGAGTGGGTCAGGACCATCTTTGTTCTGTGTCTATGTTCTGTGTCTGGACAGCACCTCGCCCAATGGTGACTGGAGCCCTCAGGCACTACTGCAATACAAAGGCAGCTGGAAAATGTTGTCCAAGTCCAAGCTTTCCTGCAGCAAAATGTCCATTTCTGTTAAGCCACATTTCCCAGGAAGAAAATTTCTCATGGGAATAATATCTGCAGCTTTAATAATCACCCCTTCTGGCCTTAAAACTTCTCTTAAAATCACCGTTATAGAGGAAAGACCCTGTATCCCAATTCCCCAATTCCCTGAATCCCCTGCCCAGGAGCCAGATTGGAGCCCGCACCCTCTGAGGATACGTCTACACTGCAATGCAGTTTTGAAATAACTAACGCTATCCCAAAAGAACTTAGTCCGTGTCTACACAGCAGGCAGTTATTTCAAAATAGTGTCAAAATACTGCCAAACTGGAGGACTTCTTACTCTAACTCCTGTAACCCTCATTGTACGAGGAGTAAGAGAAGTAGGAGGAATAGGGCTCTATTTTGAAATAAGTGCTGTGTAGAACTCCCTATTTAGAAATAAGCTATTTCAAAATAAGATAGGCGATTGATGTAGCTCAATTTGCATAGCTTATTTCTAGTTAAGCCCTGCAGTGTAAGCGCACCCTGTAGGGGAAAGGTCCATTGTTCCCTTCCCCACATCCCTGAGTTAGCCAGTTCCTGCATGCTAGGGCCAGATCGGAGCCAGCGCCCTTTAGATTGCAAAGGCTCCATATAATATTCCCTCAACTCCACCCTGTCTGATGCAGACCCCATTTGGCATCCCAGCTCTCATATCCCGATCCAGCCAGTTCCCCCAATCCACAAGCCAGCACTGATATGCTTTGAGAGTGGAGATGTGGGGGGTACTTCCGTGTTCTCCATTAGCTTTCATGAGCAACTTTTTTCTGGAGACTGGGTTTGAAAGTCCAGTGATGTGATCCAGGCTGGCAAATGCTGTGGCTGTGCTGTGTGTGTCTAAAGGGGCACTGTCAGGTCGGCTTAACTTCCCCCGGAGCCTAAGCATGATTGAAACGTCACCGTGCATATAGATTCATCCTTCCGCTGCAGTGTTTTCTTTGTAGTTGCCCAGGGGAATTTTCAGACTGAACCTCCCAGCCTCAGACCAGGGCTTCAGACTAAAAAATGAAACTGACTAGAAATACAAATTGAAACTGACCGGGCTGGTTGCGCTGCCCAAACTGAGCATCAAACAAAGCAGCAAGCAGCATTGGCAAGGGAAAAATCATTTGTTCTGATTGTATTACTGTAGCACCTGGAGGACCCAATTGAGTGCCTGGCAGAATGAGGGCACTGATCTCAGTTGGGGTCTCTGCAGCACCTGGCAAAATGGGGCCCTTATCTCGGTCGAGGTCTGTAAAATGCCTGGCACAACCGGGCTCTGATCTCAGTCAGGGTCTGTGCAGCACCTAGCACAGTGGGGTCTTGATCAGGGTCTGTGGAGCATCTGGCACAGCAGGGCCCTGATCTTGGGGAGGGTCTGTTCAGCGCCTGGCACAGTGAAGTCTGTTCTACCCCATCACAATACTGCCAAATCTGAATTCTGCTACCATAGCATATGTAATAAGAGAGCAGGATCAGAGCCATAACCTCATGCTTTTTTCCTGTATCCCACGTGCAGGTTTTCCGAAGTGGAGAGGGCATGGGTATCCGTCTGGACAGCGCCTCCGCCTTCCAGGGGGCTATCATCTCCCCTCACTATGATTCCTTGCTGGTCAAGGTGATCGCCCATGGGAAGGACCATCCCACGGCTGCCTCCAAGATGAGCCGAGCCCTGGCTGAGTTCCGCATCCGAGGTGTCAAGGTAGGAGAAGCTGAGCAGACGCTGATGCATTCTGCCGGGGCCACTGCTGGGGACTGCAGGCAGCAGGCAGTGTTCTGGTCTGCTGGGAGGGGAGGGGGGTTTCTGCAGCCGGCAGTGTGGGGGTTGGGTGACATTAATTTCATTTTCAGGGTTTGTTTTTTATCATGTCTGAGTTTTTTATGCAGTTATCCAAAATTTTTCCCGGGGCTTCCTTTTTGTATGTACTGTTATGAGTAATGTATGTTGTAAAAACTACTCATTACAGCAGAATATACAGTGATGGGTAATCGCCATGTAATATTCCCTAGTGCGCTTTAAGGCTACACTGTTTCAAACAGCACTACTTCAAAGCACACTTGGGAACCTTTCCTGCACACCAGCAGGGTCTACACGGACCAATTAATGCTCAACACAATCGTTCTTTTTAGAAATTACCTCCCTGTCGTCTGCATTAACTGCTCTGTATAGACAAACTCTTAGATTTCTGGTGATTTTCCAGTGTTCATTGGATAAACACTTATTTCGCTTGCTCTTTTTTTCCCTTTTCTATTGGGATATTTTATTGATTTAAACTTAAAATCTGAATCCCTTATAATGCATCCCCCAGTGATGGCAGGTGGTATTGCACCCAGCACTGGCCAATGCAACCCCTGGTGGTAGCAGGAAGTAATGCACCCTGCAGTGCTAAAGCCCCCATGTTCTGACAGGAAGTACAAACCTACACCCTGCAGTGATTAGTGCATCCCCTGGTGGTAGCTAGAGGTACTACACCCTGCAGCCTTCTGTTGTAGTCGGAGATCTCACTCCCTGTCCCTCCACTGTAGTCTAAGGCATCACACTGGCGGTAGAGTGGGGCAGAGCTGAATCCGCTCCATCCCTACCTGTGTTCCTTGGCCTGAGTCTCTTCCCGCTGCTGCATGCAGACCACATGCTTAGGGATCTCCCCCTAGTGGCTGCTAGGTACAAGCTCCCCCATGCTGGCAAGAGGTTCTGCACCCTGCCTTCCAGACAAACAGTGCAGCCCCCAGTGGCAGTAGGAGGCCCTGCACTTTCAAGCTGTCTCCCCACACACATCAGCTGTGATATTAGAGGCGTGTCACAAGCGGCCCTGTACTGCCTGTCAGTCAGATGTTCCCTCCCCGAGGCTTGGCATAGGCTAGTTCCACCGCTGCTTGTTCTGGTGGGAGAGCTTCATGGTGCTGGTCATGGTGGCGCTCAGAGGAGTCAGCTGGTGGCCTTATGTTCTGTGTGCATAGGGGCATTGCTGAGGTATCAGTTGGAGGGGCCAGGCCATAGGCGTGAGAAGTAGGAGTGAGGGGTGGGGGAGGTGCTGCAGCACCCCCAGGCTTTGTGTCCAACATCTCAGCCACTAGCCCCAAGCTTCTGCTGCCTGGGGGCTCTGCTGCCAGCCCCAGGTCCCACTCAGCTCCATTGGCCCCGTGCCCGGGCTCCGCTGCTGGCCCAGGGTTCTACTCAGATGCTGGGCTCCGCTGCTGGCCGCAGGGTCCTGCCTAGCCACTGACCCCATGCACAAGGACTCCACTGCTATAGTCCTCAGGGCCAGCTCTAGGTTGTTTGCTGCCCCAAGCAAAAAAATTTTTGGCTGCCCCCCCCCCAACACTTTTTGTTGGCTTTTACACGTTTGCACTTTGCAGTTTTTTTTGTTTTGTTTTGGTGACAGAGACAAGATTTCCAACTCACTTTTCAAGAGTGGGAAATGTACCTTAAATCTCGACTTTATTGTTCTTATAGAAATACGCTATTTTTTAATTGTGGTTTGAATGCATGAAAAACTATTAACACAAATAGTTAAGGAAATATAAACTAAGTACCAAAAATAGAAGGGAGAACTTGTGTTTTTTTGTTTTGTTTTGGTGACAGAGACAAGATTTCCAACTCACTTTTCAAGAGTGGGAAATGTACCTTAAATCTCGACTTTATTGTTCTTATAGAAATACGCTATTTTTTAATTGTGGTTTGAATGCATGAAAAACTATTAACACAAATAGTTAAGGAAATATAAACTAAGTACCAAAAATAGAAGGGAGAACTTGTGCCACATCTAAAACTCAAGTAGTTTATGGCTATACTTAATCATTCTTCAAACCAATTACAATCAGCTAACAATACCACTCTGTTTTAACATACTTGTCAACCAATTATGATAACTATAGTACTTAAGACATCTAAACTAAATCAATAAATATTTTTATTGTTAAACTAGATTTGTTTTGGAATGCAGTGGCTCCTTATGTGGCTCTAACACATCTATGTTATCAGATAAACTGAGATCAGAGGGTGTGCATGTGCACATTATTTTTGTGTGTCCATCTTGTTAGTAGTCATTATATATTCAAGTTTATGAGGTGTTAGAGGGAGTGGAGAGTTGTACGTGCCCAATACAACTATATGTGGAATGAAGCTTGCCTTAGAGACATCAAACACAAAAGTTTACCCAGATCAATGAAGTTTAATTATTTAAAGAAATCCATGGGTATGTCTACACTAGCCCCCCAGTTCGAAGTAGGGTGGCTAATGTAGGCATTCGAACTTGCCAAAGAAGCCCGGGATTTAAATATCCCGGGCTTCATTTGCATGTTCCCGGGCGGGCGCCATTTTTAAATCCCCTTAGTTCGAATTGACTACCCGCAGATACACGCAGCAGTCAGAAGTTAATCTGAAGTAAGTCCTTAGTTCGGATTAACTTTTGACTGCTGCGTGTAACCACAGGCAGTCAGTTCGAACTAAGGGGATTAAAAAATGGCACCCGCCCGGGAACATGCAACTGAAGCCCAGGATATTTAAATCCCGGGCTTCATTTGCAAGTTCAAATGCCTACATTAGCCACCCTACTTCGAACTAGGGGGCTAGTGTAGACATACCCTAAGAGCCTGAGGGGATGGGGGCAGGGTGCTTTCATGCTGCCTGTACTTCAAACAGGCAGCTCCCATTGTCCAGAAATTGACCAATGGGATTGTGTAGGGGGCAGGACAGCCCACAAAGCACAATTCCACACTCCCTGGGCTCATAGCTGAGAAAGAGAAACGGCTGTGGCAGGCCCCTTTCTTAGGGGGGGGGGGG